TCCTGGTACCCCACCTGTGAGCTAGGTTAAGTGCCCTCCTTTTTGCTTCCATAGCACCCATTGTAGCACCTGTCATTCCACACTGCTTTGCTGGCTCTTCTCCCCCAGTAGATGGTGGGCTCCTTGTGGCAGGGACCAGGACAGCTTCTTCTGTGTTTTCTGTGCCTAGCACAGGACCTGGCATGGAGCAAATATTTCATAAATGTCTACCGACATCAGTGGATGTCCAAACTGGAGGGGAACTTGGGGTGACACAGTTGCAATGTACTGGGAGGTCCAAAAAGCCTTTTCTCACTGATCATCTCATTCATGCCTCTAAAGTTGCTACTGTCTCCAAAGCTGAGGAAACTGGGATTCTGATAACTTAAGTGACTTTTCCATTTTCACTCAACCAGGAAGTGACTGGGCTGGGATTTGACCACAGGTCTCTTACTCTAAGGCTCGGTCCATCACTTCTCATAGCATCTGATTCAAACAACACACACAGTTCACCACCAAGAATACTGCGTCCGGGAGAAGTGAATTGCTGGCCTAGGGTCATGCAGTTTGTTCCCCATTCTATGCCCTTTCTTCAAACAGGAAATGCCCAGGAAAGTGACAAGGTGAGGGTAGGGTCCTCGGCTCAGGAGGGGGCTGCTGCCTGTCTCTCTCCCCATTTGCTCCCTCCCCATTTGTCACAATCTGAATGTTTAAATTTTGTATTTAGTATTTACTCTGAAATGGCTTTCATCTGATTTCCCCCTTGCTCACCAATTTAGCTGTCAGAGTAAATAAATGTGAAGCTGGGTCTCCAGCCTCTCCCAGCTCACATTACCTTCCTAGAATTACTCCCCGGCGGGGTGGAACCTCTGCTGGGGGACTCCCACAGAATTATCCAGTTACTAATGAAGCTTCTTTTCAAACCCAAACCCTAGACAGAGACTCAGATGGGGGAGGATGGTAACCCCCCCAACCCCAGACCAGATGACCACATCCTGTTTAGTGACTAAGAAGAGTACTAAAGTGAGAACTAGATGACATTATACATAAAAATATTAGTTTTTAAGGTATAGTTAGTTGTCACTCCAACCCTGAGAGGTCAATATTGTCATCCCCATTTTGCAAGTACAGAAACCAAGCTCACAGAAGCAAAGTGACCTGTCTTTAGTCTCCCAAAAGAAATCCAGTATCCCAATGGAACATACTAAATTCACTAATCCTGATTTTTCCAAAGTCACTCCTATCTAGACTCTTTCTGCTGCTGAAGTCTTGGGTTGTTGGAAGAAAATTGGGGTGGGGGGAGTACCAGGGATCGAACTCAGGACGTTGCGCTTGTGAGGCAGGGCGATGCCACTGAGCTAAATTCCCAGTCCAAGAAGAGAGATTTCTTATCTAAAGTGATTTCACTTCTGTCCTCTTTGGAGTAAGGCAAGTCATGGGCTTCCTTAAGTGAGTTATTCAGGAGAATTTTGATTGATTTATGCTCTGTCTCGCTCCAACAAAGAATTTGCAGTGGCATCCAGTAGGGTAACAACTGGAAAACTTGACTTGTCCCTGTCGCTGAAGATGGCTAGTATTTATTGGTTGTTTATTGCACATCAGGCATAGTTCTGAGCCCTCATACATGAATCATTTGCATAAATTTTACCATTAGGACTGGGGTTACCCATAGGAGATAGGCTTTGTTATTATCCCCAGAACACAGGTGAGGAAACTGAGTCTGAGTGACTGACTGAATAATTTGCCCAGGGTTACCCAAATAATGCGAAGGCAGTCTGGGCTCAGTGACTTTGTGCCTCACTACTGAGTTTAATGCATCTTATTCCAGTTTTGATTTTTTGAGTGATTAATCAAAATTCAGGAGCAGAATTTCATAGGAGGTAAGAGTTTGGGTTCAGAGTCTGAGTGCTGGAGCTTGAAATGGGAGCACCTGTAAGTTTATTTCCTTAAGTATAATAAGTCAGATATGGTAAGGCACACCTGTAATACTAGCTACTCAACAGGTTGAGGCAGGAGGATTGCAAGTTTGAGACCTGCCTGGACAACATAGTGAGACCATGACTCAATACTTAAAAATAATATATAAAAGGCTGTTGTTGTAGCTCAGTGGTGGAGCACCCCTAGGTCCAGTCCTCATTACCAGGAGTGGGCTGGGGTGAGGATGAGGAAGAATAACAATATAACCTCTTTGTGGGGTTGCTGTGAGGATTAAAGAGGGTAATGCATGCAAAACAGTACTTGGTACATAAATACTTAGTAAATGGTGATTATATTATTATTATCACTCAAGGAGCACATGCTTCCGATTCCTTTTCATTGTACTACAACAGCTTGTGTGTTGACCCTTGAAGCTTTGCAGTCATCTCTCTACCAGGATACTTTCTTCTATTCCTCAATGTGTCCCTTGAACCTTTTCAAGTTTTACCTGCTCTTTAGTTTTAGCTCAAGGCTCCTCCACCTCTCTTGCTTAAGAAGTTTTGCAGAGTCATTGTAATCTCTATGCCCTTCTTCTTTCCTGGAGTCCTCCTGCATGCACAGAAGTGCAGCATCATATGTTGCTGACCTCCTGATTTCCCCCTCAACCCAGAGGGGAGGAGGAGAAGGAAATAAAGGGAATTCTGGAGTTATTCCCATTTTACAGATGAGAAGCAGGCCTAGCCCATGAAGTCATATTCATGTGTTTTAACAGAGTATGGAAAGTAAGTGTGTGTGTGTGTGTGTGTGTGCGGGCGTGTGTGTGTGTATACATGCTGAGTGAATACAGTCAGGTGTATAGCCTGGAAATCCAGAGTTTGAGCTCTGACATCAGATGAATCTGGCTTTAAGTTCTTGCCTCTAGCAAGAATAGCAATTACTATCAAGACAGCAATTACTATCCTTTGGCACCATGTTGGACACAGCAAATAATTTCTCAAACCTCAGTTTCTTTGTCAGTAAATACACATCATAAGAGATGCTGCCTCATCATTGTGAATAACTTGCCCAGCCTCATTATTGTGAAAAGAAAAATGAGATCATGATTGTAAAATACTTGGCATTTTAAGGCTTGGCACAGATTAAAGTACTCAGGAATAGTAGCTGGGATTACCAAGTAAAAGAGATATTTGAGGGGAAGGGGACTGTTCATCTGTGATCATGTTTGACAGTGCGTGTGTACATGTGTACACCTGTGTGTGTGCATACCTTATCCACTTCCATGTTGCAATCTGTTCTCTAGAGTAAAAGGTTTATGATTCAGAGAGAAACTTTTTCTCTCTGTTTCCATGTTTGAGAGCAATAAATAAGAGAAAAGCAGAGGCTGGGAGATGCCTCAGCTTGGGCTGGGATGATTTCAGTGTAAAGGAGAAGATTGTGTCTTTGGAGGACGTGGGCATGGGTCTCTTGTATTGTGTGGGTATGCAAACCTCCTTGTGTGCCTGTGCAGTTGGGATGTGCCTCTGCGTGTGCAGACCTAGACTGAAACTCTTGGGAACCCACATGTACATACATGTGTGTCATTTCTGCTTATGAACAGATGGCCTGCGATCGGTGAGGATGCATGTGCATATTTGGGGATGCCCGAGTGAAGGATATGAGGTGATACAGGGTTGGCGAGAGCCCTTGCTCTCTTGAGGATAAAGGTGTGTACAAGTGTAAGAACATCTGTAAATGAGGGCAATTATGGAGGCGAGGCGATGGTGTGTATGCTGTCTTGCTGTTGCAGAGCTAGATCGGAGTCTGAATGTGTGTGTTTGTTTTTAGAAGATGTCTATTTACACATATCTCTTTGGGCTCGGTTTATATGTGGAGAAGGGAGCTGAGGCTATAAATGTCCCTCATGTCTGTATGCCATAGGGCGTTAGTGTGTGTAAGACTGTCTCTGAGTCTGAGGTGTCTGTGTTTCGAGGCTGGGTCTCTTATCTAAACCCCTGAGCCTCTCTGCCTTCCCCACGATCTCCTCATCAGTAGAACTCTAGACAAGGTGAGCACTGGACTCCGTGGCTAAGTAAATCCTGAGAGGAAGGGGAATGTCCCAAGCAATCCCTTGGAAGAGAATTGAGGGAATCTACCCTCCTCTCCCACTAACCACCCACCAAGCCCAATGCCATTCAGTCCTTAGGAGCTGGTGGGCTCCTGGGCCATTATGGAGTAGAGGTATCTATCTGCATGGTGGCATATATGTGGATGCCTTGTTACGGTTTAAATGATATGAGCAGGTAATCACTCATATCAGGATCTACACAAACGCACCAGGCACAGTGTTCACCTCAACCGAGTATGTGTGACTTCATATGGAGTTCATCTCTGCAGCGGGGATCACCGTGGGTCCCTCTTGTACCTGTGAGTGGGGCTGTGTCTGAGGACCTTGAGTGCCCCTTGAGGGAGGGGCGGTAGTGAGGGCCATGTGGATGTGTGCCCACCAGCGTCTTTGTATGTTAGGGAGTCTTGGAGTCTGTCAGCAGCTCCGAGAGTCTGTGTGTCTCTGTGTTTGTGTGTGCATGTCTCTGGGTCTCTGCCTCGTTGTGTGTGTCTCGCTCTTCCTTGGCGGGGAGGGGATTGGTCACGCATGACTCATCTTGAACCGAGCGGAGCTCCAGCGGCAGGGCGGCTGCTGCCGCAGCTGGAGGGGGAGGAGGAGGAGGGAGAGGAGGAGGAGGG